TCGGCCGAACAATAGAGGCCTATATTGACGACAAGGTGGTCAAAAGCAAGGTTGAATCTAATCACCTGGGTGACCTGGCCGAAATGTTTGAAATCCTTAAGCGTCACAAGTTGTGCTTGAATGCATCCATATGTGTGTTCGGCATGGGGTCGGGGAAATTTTTAGGATTTTTGGCGATAAACTAAGGAATAGAAACAAACCCCTCCCAGATAAAAGCAATACAAGAGTTAGAACGACAAAATTCAACAAAGGATGTGCAACATCTTGCCGGGATGGCAGCCGCGCTTAATAGATTTATTAGCCGGTCATCAGATCATTGCAAGCCTTTCTTCCAATCTCTAAAATCCAAGTTCTTTTAGGACGACGAATGCGGCCAAGCTCTAGCAGATTTGAAGGCAATTCCACTCTACTCTAGGCGACACTGAAGCCCGGCGAAGAGCTTTTCTTTTACCTAGCCGTTTCTCAACATGCGGTCAGCATGGTATTTGTCCGAACTAAAGGCATACAACATCTACCTATTTTTTATGTGAGCAAAACTTTGCTCCCTATAGAATCGAGGTACCTACCCCTAGAGAAACTCGCTTTGGCACGTATGATGGCATCTAGAAAGTTAGCACACTATTTTCACGCTCATACAATAATGGTGCTAACAGAATTTCCACTAAAAGTGTTGTTTGAGAAGGCAGACTTTTCGGGCCTTATCTTGAAATGGACGGTAGAACTAGGGAAATACAACATTAAGTTCTAGCCTAGGACCGCGATTAAGGCACATGCTTTAGAAGATTTTGTGTCTAAATTCTCCCCTAGAACTCACCCAGTTTTCCCGATCAACCTGACTCAAGCAACCGAACAAGAGAGGTCGATCAACGTGGAGACAGTGCGGCCAATAGCCACTTTGCACCAAAATGAACCTTTGCCACCATCTGCTCAGCCTAATAGCGCGCTTTTGGGTCAATAATGCAATTCGTTGTACCCAACACCGCACTGCTAGGGAGTGAGGCAATGTTACAAGTAGTGGAGTGGCAAAGTAGCAAAGAGGAGCTTGAAGAGGAAGACATTGAGTCAGGTTAGGAGTTGTCTTAATCTCTCCAGACAGTCTTATGATTGAGCACGCCATCAAGCTGGGGTTCCCTGCATCAAACAACGAAGCTGAGTATGAAACATTGCTGGCCGGCATGAAAAGCGCCTCGCGTATGAGTACAACCGATCTGATGGTTTATAGTGATTCAAAACTAGTGGTGAACCAAGTGTCAGGGGAATATGAAGCCAAAGATGACAGAATGGAAAAGCATCAAGCTTTGGTAAGGAAGAGATCAAGAAGTTCCAAGCTATAAGAGTAAAGCAGATCGGCCGAGAAGAAAATAGCAAGGCAGATGAATTAGCAGGTCTAGCGTCTATGGCAAACCCCACAACTAACCCCGTGTTGATCGAATTCTTGCCAAAATTGAGCATTGAAGAGCCAAAGGTAGTGGAGGCGTGCTGCCTCGAGCTGGGACCATCCTGGATGGACCCCATTATCACCTTCCTTAAGAACAGAACCTTGCCAACCAAGAAGAAAGAGACGAACAAAATCCGGACTAAGTTTGAGAGATTTTGGCTCTCCCCATCCGGAGCGTTGTATAATAAGTCTTTCACCAGGCCATACTTAAAATGCATTCACCCTAGCCAGACAGAGGCCTTCCTCTTTGAAATTCATGAGGGCATGTGTGGAAGTCATATTGGGGGGAGATCATTGGCCTACTGAGTTATATCTCAAGGGTATTGGTAGCCGTGCATACAAGCAAACGCCCAGAAGTATGTACGGAAGTACAAGAAATGCTAAAAATTTGCGCACCAAATCCATTAACCGGCCAGAGAACTCCTACCTTTGACAATCCCTTGGTCGTTTGCTCTCTGGGGGCTGGACGTTGTTAGACAACTTCCAACCACGCCAGGCAACCACAAGTTCTTCATTACGGTGACAGATTACTTCACCAAATGAGTGGAAGCTGAACCCTTGGCATCTATTAAAGAGGACGTGAAGAAATTCGTTTGGCAAAATGTGATAACTCGATTTGGAATCTTGAAGGCTTTAATCTCAAACAATGGCATGCAGTTTGATGGAAAACTCTTCAGGGGATTTTGTGAGGAGTTAAAAATAGAGTTCAATAATTCCACACCGGCCTATCCCCCGTCAAACGGACAACCCGAAGCTTCGAACAAGACGATTCTTGACGGGCTAAAAAAGAGGCTAGAGAAAGCCAAAGGGAGATGGGCCGAGTAACTCCCTAATGTGCTCTAGGCGTACCAAACTACTCCAAGGTGGGGAAATGCCTTTCGCCTTGGCCTATGGCATGGAGGCAATCATTCTACTCGAAATTGGCATGCCAACCATCAGAACCAAAAATTTTGAGCCAGATTCGAACGGTGAAGCCATTGCCATGGAGTTGGACCTTATTGAAGAAAGAAGGGAGAAAGCATTGATTCATATCGTGGCTTACCAACAATAGCTAACAAAGAAAAATAACAAGACCGTGCACCCACGATTGTTCAAAATTGGAGATTGGGTTTTGCGCAAAGTGAAGGGCAATACTCTTGTGCCAAGTGAAGGGAAATTGGGAAGGATTGTACAAAATTACCAATCTAGCTGGAAAGGAAGCATATTACTTAGAAGATTTAGACGGCAAGGCCATTCCCAAACCATGGAACGCGGCCAATCTGAAGTTGTTCTACTTTTAAAAGTAATCCTCTTTGCTTTTAGTATAGTCCTTCCCATTTTTGATGTAGTCCTTCTTGTTTTTGTTCAAGTCCTTCCTACTTTATGTGTAAAGAAACAAGTAGATTGCCTTCTTGGAAATTGTAGTATTTTCACAACTTTCTTTTCGGTTTACTGCACTTCCAAGTCCCATCGAGCAGATTCAGCATGGTCTCAAGGGCAACCAAAAGTTGGTGATTTGTCTAATTTTGAACTTCCTGGCAGAGCTGATTTCGCTCAGCGAGATGAAAATTGGTATTTTGTCCAACTTCGAACTTCTTTGTCGAGTTGATTTTGCTCGGCAAAATGAAAGCTGGTGTTTTGTCCAACTTCGAAATTCCTTGCCAAGCTTATTTTGCTCGGCAAGATAAAAGTTGATGTCTTGTCCAACTTTTCGCTCGGTGAGAAGTTTTGCCAAAGATTTTAGTTGAAAGTAGTAACCGAGGTGTCCCTTGCCGGGCTAGTTTTTCTCGGTTCAAGTCAGTGTTGTGAAAGGCGCAAGGTGCAGCGAGACACAACAGTTGTGCCTACAGGTACCCAGGGTGAGGCAACTTAAAAGAGGTGTGTGCCTTATGCGCAACTTGTCGAGGCGAGAAAAGGTGCAAGTCACACGCCTAGGCGCGACTTTTGTTTTTCGGATCTCTGAATTAATCTAACAGCTCAAATGGTGCTTTTAAAGGCTCGAATTACAGAGGATTACAACTCTAAGCTATATGCAAGATTACCCAGCCCCAAATCGATCGAAATGTCCTAATATCCATTCGTATTTGGTCAAAAGCTTATTGTCTCTCTCCCTCTCTCTCTCTCTCTCTCTCTTCGCTTCGGCTCGTCTGGAACCAGGTGAGTTCTCTTCTTCTTCTTCAACTTTGCTCTCTGTTTTTTTTTTCTTCGACTTCAAGTCTCGACTCTCTCTCTCTTTTTCTTCTTTGCTCCCTATTTTTTTTCCTGCTTCTTCAACTCAGTTTCTCTCTCTCTCTCTCTCTCTCTCTCTCTCTCTCTCCTTTTGCTAGGTAGAGTTTTTTTTTTTTTTTTTCGGCCATTGGTTGCGGTCTCTGGCTGTTGTGTTCTTTGTATACCCGTGAAAGTCGTGTCTACTCCGGCCATGAAAGGCTGTGTCTATTCCGGCTATACTGGACTGGCTTCTAACGGGGTCATGTCGGAGGCCTCCGAGTGCATATATCGCGATTCCAGCTGCGATTCTCCAACCCATAACCAGAGGCCTCCGAGTGCATATATCGCGACCACGGGGAAGGAAGTCGCAGCCGCCGAGGGCCTCGAGCATGCTGGACTTGCCGCTGCTCTGGCTGCCGATCACCGCCACCTGAGGCAACTCAATCTTCGGAAGCTCGCTGCCACCGCTGATGGGAGAGTCATATCCTGGAACAGGGAGAGTCATATCCTTTTCTGGGGTGATGAATTCACAGTCCATGATGGTCCTCACAAAAACAAACATTATATATATATAAATAAGCACCAGGCACCCTCCTTCATTTTATTATTCTTCTTAGAACACCATGTGACCCACGATTTTTTTCCCCACCATGTGACCCACGATTCTTTTCCTTACTCTTGTTCCACACTTTCTCTTATTTTACTATATCTCTCACTTTCCAACCCACCGTTTTGATTCCCACTTTCCTTTTCTTTTTTTATTTTATTTTTTTGTAATCATTTTCAACTGTTATCCCCACTCATCCACACCCCCCTTTCCTTTTCTTTATCTTATTTTATTTTTTCGTCATAAAAAAAAAAAAACAAAAAAAAAAACAAAAAAAAAAAAACAACAAAAAAAGGGATTAGAACACATCATGGTTAGTGTACAAAAAAGGTTTTCTTCTACCAAATCTAGAGTTGTGGGTCAAACGGGTCAAACAACTATGGGAAGTAGTGTTGCATAAAAAGCTCAAATTCCCATCCTAACTGGACCACACCAAAACACATCCACACTGCCTGGACTGTGAAAATGGGGACGGACTATATGTATCCCAAAAATGCTCGATCAACAATCTAGCCGGGTGTCTCGATATATGATAGGTCATTACTAAAATCAACATTTTGAATATTAATAATTTTCAACGGGTTAGGGACAGTGGTAAAAATGTAGTTCTTGGAGTACATATTTCCCCTTCTTACCATAAAATCTGGGGGCAAAGGGCCTACAATGTAGTGCGAGCGGTCATATCCTAAGGCAATGGCGAGGACACGAGTGGGTTCGAGAAAGCATCCGAGCGTATAGGCACGACTCTACCTCAATAGTAAGCATACAAGGTGGAATTAAGTGAAAGGGAGGATTCTAGAAGATATCAGTATCTTCGGCTAGTCCAAGTTTTGCAGTCGCCACCTTCCAACCGCACTGAAAGATGTCTTTGGTCGCCTCCACTTAACAACCATAAGTATTCTCCTCGTCCTCAGAGCCTTTGTCTTCTGCCTCTTCAATTTTAGTCTTCAGCTCGACTTTGTGCTGATCCCTGAGCTTTTTTAGCTCGGCTAAATATCTTGTTTCTTGGCCTCCACCGCCTTGGCCTTGTCTGCATCTACCTTGTGCAACTTCTCGGCCAGTTGATCTCTCTCAGTAATAATTTCTGCAAAAAAAGCCTTAAGAGTTGCCAACTTGGTCTTCTTATCTTCATTGTCAGCAATGGTTGCTCTGAGCCTTTTCCTCAACTCCAACACAAACTTATATGCGACTTGATTTTTCTGTGCAGCCTAAAATAACAAATGAAATCAGATAGCCGAGCAAACAGTTGAAGCTAGAATGAAAAGGGGCTAACCAAAACTATGGACTTGGTGGCTGACCTAATGGCCTTCAAGTCAGTCAGCTGCTGATACCTCTCCATGTCAGTCGGCAAACACAGAGCCTTGGCCAAGTTGAAATCGAGCTAGTTATCCTTGTCTGTGTAGCATTGACAGCACGACCTTTGTATTTCAAAGAGGGAGTCCATGCTGGAGGGAATGAGAAGGGTCATCAGCTACTCCAGTTTCAGCTTGCTCAGTGGCTTCCGGTTGCTCGGTCGGAAGGAGCTCAACTATATCCTCATCAACAAGGGTTTGTCTGGTAGTCGCAACCCTAGACCTTTTTTTTGGCTGAGATGAAGTTGAGGGTGCCACTGTTGAGGCCAAGGCCAAGCCCAAAATCGTATCAGCGTTATGCGCAATTGTTTGGCCGTCACCTTGTGTGCCTTGCACTGAAGAGGAGCTCAGCCCAGTGATTACTGATTTTATAGCCCTTTGCTTGGCCAAACGACTTCTGGAAGATTGGGATCCGATTCTAGGGATAGTTCACGTAGAAAATTGGATACTTCGTTTTTGCGCAGTGTGTTATATTGATAGGTTGGCTCGTAGCCCAGCAAAGCGTGGCGAAAACGACTTGGATGTCTCAATGCGGCTCTAATAACGTCCCGGTTAGCGTAAGAATAGTTGGCCGCCAAATGATTGTAATCTGCAAACAAAGACAACTGTTAGCACAGCAAAACACTTCATCAAAAAAAAAAAAGGCAACTGAGCTACTCTACTTACCAACACTTCCTTTATTTTTATTTATGTACCAACTCGGTATAAGTGCCTCGGTATCCCCATAGTTACCAAAGACCCACAAGAAGTCATCGTCGTTTAAGTCTTTGTCCGGCATCCCATTGATCAGTTTTGCTTGGCCCTTCTTTAAACCATCTTTATTTTTGGTAAGTGAGTATTGGTGAAAATTTTCGACCAACCCTAAATTTAAGCCTAATAGGCGGTTTAGCACGATTACACTGTTTATTATTTTGTAAGTGTTGGTAGAAACTTGTGTGGGCCACAACCTAGTCTTCCTAACAAATTCACAGATCAGGGATTGGACCGGAAAGCGAAGTCCCCCCTCTATTATCCACACTAAGGTGAAGGGGCAAGATTCATGTCGGCTCCAAGGCGTTATTCCTTCCTCGACCAGTTCAAAATGAACGTCATTTGGAATTTCGAATTCTTCACGAAAGTCAACAATGGCACCTGGCAAGCTCACCCAATAGCGGTATTTGCCCATGGAGCTCGATTTTATTTAGCGCCTAACTTATCGAAGATGTGTTTGCTCGGCTGCTTGGTCTTCGGGCGTCACTAGATGGCGATGTTTGGAGTGTGCCTGGTCGGTTCTAGTCCAGTCTGCAAGGTTAAAAAATGAAGTGTATTATATTCAAGCTTTAACACAGCGACAGAGGTGCACTGGGACCTCCTAACTTTGCTCGGACTTAAAACAACGTGGAATTCAACTCTGTCTTTAGGCTGGCCTTTCGCTTGGTCATTGATCTTAAGCCTGGTTTCTAGTTCGACAATTGAGCTTAGGCCAAGGTCCTAGGTTATAGCTTAGTTTGGAATAGGGGCAAGGGATCCTAACCCGGTCCCAAGGTAAAAAAATTTCGCTAAATTTCAAGGGCAGGGCCACTTCAGCTAGGTTTTAGAGCAAGGGCTTGCCCTCTAGCCCAATTATTGGATAGACCCAAATTTAAGGCTCAGAGACTGGTTTTTGCTCGGTGTTAATGAATTTTAAGATGGGAGATTTAGTCAAAACCCACTCATAATAAAACTTTAATGCATTAAAGAAAAGCACAAAAAAATTTCCTTAAAAAGCCCAACACATACCATTATTATCAAAATATAAACTTTAAAATAATATAACTTTTGATGTAGATGTCAGTTTTTAATAAAATTAATATTTTTAAAATTCTCTCATCAAGATCTATCAAATAAAATCCATGTTGACCATGAAATTTAAAAATATATATATTATTATCGTCAAAATTAATGTAAACAACAACAATAACATACTACTCTGTTTGACAGTAACATGTTACTCTGGCAATATTGTCCAAGAAAAAAAAAAGAAGATATTTTACTTTGCCCTTACTCAATTATGTGTTTTCTCCTTAGTGAGTTTATAAAGCAAAATAAATTAGGTTGTCCTTTTCACCAAACAAGGGTTTTAATGGAGGGGTTTTGGCTAAATTTCCCCTTTAAGATCAAAATTAGGGTTTTAGCACGGCCTTGCCCAGGCTTCTTGAAGTTCATATCAGAATCTAGGCAAAAGGCTCTCCAAGTTCGATTTTATGCCTAAAATGAGTCTAAACACTCATTTGACCACTCTAATGGGTGTTGTCAAAGTTTTTAAAGACGAATGCGTAACTCAAGACATTTTACCCCTCATGAGGCGAGGCGTAAGCCATAAGACGTCGAGGCGTTTTGAATTTCAAATTTTAATATTTAGTGAATAAATAACATATTTTAAAACAGTAAAAATAAATAAATACAAAGGTGTAAATACTTTTTTCCTTAAGGTATTGAACATTTCAATGCAAAAAATGAAGTTTTCCTTCACTGATAGTGAAATTAATATCCTTAGTTTTAGTTATTGAGCTTCTCACTTGAGAATTAATTGTGTTTTTTTCTTGATTGGTCATTTACTTAATTTTTCCTTTATAATATAGTTGCAAAATGAGCATTTTTTTTTTTTTTTGGGTTTAAACAGTCTGCTAGACTAAGTTTAACAAAAGCCGAAGGAAACCTCTTCATATGCGTACTTCTCATATGCTTATGCGCAAAAGGCGAACAAGACGCACCTAAGGCGCATGTCTCAAACTGTTATGTGCTAGCCTTTGGGAGTAAAGCCTAAAAATCAAAGCCTTGATGCATTTTACCCGAGCCTTGAGGCAAGGAGAGCCTCAGTAAAGCCTTTTAAAACTTTGGGTGTTGTAAGGTCATAAGCAGTGGATAGGGGTTGAAAATCCCAATTTGTGATGGGGAAAGTGCATGAAAAACAAGAGGAAAATGAAGAACACGAAGAACAACAGTGGAAATTAGAAAAAGATTCAAGATGCTTACCGTATGTGGTGAAGATCTAGATTCTAATCAGTTAGGTAGAAATGCTCCAATGGCGACGGCAATCTGCGAATGGCAAATGAAATTGGACAAAATGGTTGGAAAGAAGGAAATCAGGGCTCTAGTGCACTTGGTTTGACAGGGTACTCAAGCATGAACAATGAAGGGCTTGGTGTATGTATCGCTTATATATATTGAGAGGTGAAAAGGTGCCATAATTCGAATTTTTGGAATTCATGCGCGACGGCTGGAGAGTTGCACAGAACCAACGAGGGGGCACCACGTGTCCCAGACGTGATATGTTGTCAGGTAATTCCGGTCATGCTAAAGCAGATGGAATTAAGGGGCAATTGAGAGGAGAATTTGTGCTGAACAATGGGCCAGCATAAATCCAGCGCGGGCCCTCGCGCTCAACCGAACGACCGGACTATTGTGTAGGCCAAAAAATTGGACCAAGCTATCTTGTAAGTTTGGGCCATGTGTTGCGCTGTGCCCAAGGGTTGATTGAGCTATGAAAGAACAGCCACGAACCGGCCTGAGCGAGGAGAGCCTTGAAGAGCTATGAAACAAGTTGGAGAGACCGACCTAGCTTAGCTCGACATAAGAACGATTAGAGTTATTACAATTGAGGATAGGGAAAGTGAAATTGTGTTAGTAGCGATGGCTTAGTCAGAGCACTCCACATGGCCCAATGGAGTAAGGAGAGCAATTAAGTACACGTTAATACCGTTTGGCGGTTTAGCCAATGCTGTTTGGCAGTATTGACGCACACACATGTAAGGAAAAGAGAGGGTAGTACAACCACGCATCCAGCAAAGGACAACAGAAGTAGTGCACGCACAACCATGGAAAGAAAGGCAACGGCCTAGATAAGGCGCACAACTTCACTCAAGAAAGGGTAAGCAAACTTACACTATTCACTCTCTCTACTGTCTATCTCTTAAGGGTGCTAACTTGACCGTCGGAGGGGTTTTTCAGCAAAACACCCACTAGGTAACTTACCTTCATTGTGTTTCAGGAAGCAAGATGCCGTTCGGAGCAATACGAAGTTTGGACCAGTGTTTTTAAAGGCTCAAGGCACACCGAGGAGCTGAAGGTCTCTTAGGCCTAGGTGCAAGGCGCAAGGCGAGACGCGGGCTTTATTGGCGCAAGGCGAGACGTGGGCTTTATTGAAGCAAGGCACACAATCTTAGTAAAAAATAGATAAATTAACATAGACTAATGATTCATACTAGTACTAAGACAATTTTTAAAAATAATAATAATAGTAATAATAAACAAAGTCATATAATTGCAACCAAAAAAAAAAAAAAAAAGGAGACAAGCATGGAAGAGAAGCAAAAAAAAACAGAAGAGGAGAGAAGAAAAAGAAGACTGTTGCTATTCTCATATTTGCATTATTCATGTAATAGAGAAGAAGAAGAAAAGGAAGAACAGAGAGCAAAGATGAAGAAGCAGGAAAAAAACAAACAGAGAGCAAGAAACTGAGTTGAAGAAGCAAGAAAAAGAAAAAAAATAGCGAGCAAAGAAGAAGAAGAGGAAGAGAGAGTCGAAGTCGAAGAAGCAAAAAAAAAAAAAAAAAAAAAAGAAAGTCAAAGAAACAAAAACCAACAAAGAAGGGAAAAAAAAAAAAAATATATATATATATAGCAACTCGAAGAAGGGGAAGGAGAAAAAAAATACCAAGCAACCAACGAAGGAAGACGAAAAAGGGGGGGGGAAAAAAAAAGGTCGAATCGAATACCCATCGACCAGCGAAGAAGAAGAAGAGGAGAAGAAGATGAAGAAAAAGAACTTACCTCAATCAAAGTCGAAGTCGAGAGAGACGAGCCAAGAGGAAGAGACAACACAGATTTCTTGGATAGATTAGGGATTTGAGTCGACTAATTTGGGTTGAGTTGCATTGTATGAGTTGTAATCCTATGTGGTTGGAGCCTTTCGAACACAAATCAGAGCCGTTAGATCAGAATCATAAACACACAAAAAAAGCCCTCTTAGGCTTGCGCCTTTCAACGCCTAGCCAAGTCGCGGCCAAGGCACGCAACTTATTAAACGCGCCTCGCCTTGGGTCCCTTCAGGTGCACTGCTTGCGCCTCGTTGTGGCACCAAGGCATGCCTTTCACAACACTAGCTTGGACGCAAGGAGTACGGACGTGTCTAATATTTCTTGCCCGTACAGATGGTATATAACTTTTTCATCTTCATTAGTTCAAAAATAATGTTCCAAAATTTAGAATTTAAAAGAGTGGGGGTAGATACTTACCTTTTATTTCTCCTACAGTGATAAGCCTGTTGAGACAATCTCGAAACTTTGTCAAAACTATCCTTTCTTGCTCTGCGTAAACTTCAGTCTTTCCTTGCCCATGAGGCAACTGTGAGGATGTGTTATAGCCATGGCCCATTAACCCCTTAGGGGAAGCAGCAGCCATGAACATTGTATCCTGTTCATCACACATCAATGCTAGGGTTCCAGGAGACATTGGCCTTCCTTTTGATACATCCACTCCATCTGAACTGGACTCATTGGGGCTAGTCTTCTCAGCTTGGTTTGCACTTGAGCAATCATCAGCTACTGCTTTTTCAACTTCAGATTCTTTCTGGCTTCGTAACCGGTCTGATGAAGATGAAGCAAGAGAACTTTCCATCCGATCTTCTGGCTGCCTCTCCATTGCATTTTTTTGGTCTGGAAGAATTATAATACAATATTAAAAGAAACAATTGGGTTGAAGGATGCATTTTGTTGAATTCACTGAAAGGTAGCATTAATCAAAGATGGGGGAAAAAAAATTAGGCAGAAATTTCAACAGCTTTGTTTGTCCAACTACAGTTGATTTTATACTACTCAGGACCAGTTTCTCGCTAGGGATCTATGGCTGAAAAAAATGGTTTTTTGATGACTCAGGATACTGTAGTGACAAAGTTCGCCACGTAATAATATTAGAATGTGCTTGTCAAGGTATTAATCAGATATATAAACCCCTCCCCTTCCCAAGTATTTACCAAGTATTTTTGTCTGCTTTTGTTTTGGTAAGGTTATGATTCATAAACCAAGAAAAAGGAGAAAACAAAGCAACATAGAGACAGGCCATATATATTTTTGTTAAAATAGAAGTATTTTTGTCTCTTTGTTAAATGTCCCTTACTTAAAATATTTTCATGTAACTTTTAATTTTAAATATTTTTCATGTAGATTCCATTTCATTCTATTGTTTCAGTTTCTGTTCAGATTATAAAATTATAGTTTTTGAAGCTCTGGTTTTATACAAGACTCGTGATGTGATGGATGATAAATTCATGTTCCAGAACTATGAATGTAATAATAAATACTATTTTTGACATTATTGTCGTTTCTGTTACAGCAAAAATGTAGGGCCTTTTTAGACGATTCACAGTCCACATATGATGATAAAAATTGTCTTATAACTTGAGCATGAGAGATAGGATTTTTTATAGGGGTATTATTTTATTATCGAATGGATGATGAGAGTTTAGGTGTGATCAAGGTTTTAAAAAGCAGCTATCACCACGGTTGTGATGGTTACCGCCACCTGTTATGGCCGCTATAGCGGTATAACAAAAATTCACAACCGTAATAGCCACTACCGTTACGTAAAGGCCGTGACAGCCGTTACATTGCCGCTACAACACCGTTCTAGCCATTACGGCTATTACGCTTCTATTTTTTTTAATTGTTTTTACAAATTTAGTATATGATGCTATTTTGTCTTTTTATTTTCTAATTATATAAAACTTAAGTAAAAATCTTATCTATATATATTTGGGTGAATTACACTAATTATATAGTTTGGGGCATATGTCACTCTGATCTCTGACTTTTCAATTGTGACACATTTGATCTTGAATTTTGAATCTTGTTCCAAATAAGGACAATTGAATATACCTTTGCTTAATTTCAAGGGCAAATATGAACTAATTTGACAGAAATAAATGTCAAAAAATATTTTTAAATTTTTAAAAATTATTTCTACCCACCAATGATAAAATTATGTAAAATTGATAAATCTTTTACACATTTATTTATTTATTTATTTTTATCAAATTAATTTTTATTGTTACCAAACGACACCTATGCGTTTGGATGATGATCAAAAAAATTAGTTTCTATTTTCATTAAATTAGTTTCTATTTTTTCCAAAAGTCAAATATGGCAACAATATTGATATCATTATTAAACAAATCAATTAAATCAAAAAATTTAAAACTAAAAACATTTCATATATTAAATATATCGATTACACATTAAAAGCCTAGCAACCACCCATTACAGGATCATCATCCAAACACATAATAAAAATTAATTTGATAAAAAAATAAATAAATGTTTAAAAAAATTATCAATTTTACATAATTTTATCTTTGGTGGGTAGAAATAATTTTTAAAAATTCAAAAATATTTTTTTGACATTTATTTTTGTCAAATTAGTTTATATTTTATCAAATTGACGACTTTGCCCTTGAAATTGAGCAATGGTATCTTCCATTGTCCTTATTTGGAACAAGATTCAAACTTCAAGATCAAATGTGTCACAATTAAAAAGTCAAGGACCAAAGTGACACAAGCCCCAAACTATACAAACTGTTAGTGTAATTCGCCCTATATATTTTGAATGTCCAATTTTCAAGTTCTACGAGATTTCATTACTTTTTCACTTAATTATATTTGAATATTAACTTATAAGTTATTTCTATATCTCTTATATTAAATTTATTGAAGAAAATTTAGATTTCATGCTATGTACTTTTATATTACTATATTGGCATTTTGTATTTTGAACTTATGTTTATGAGACTATTATTTTTAATATTAAACATACTTCATTTTTTTTCTTAACAAATTGGAAGTTATCCATAAGTATAATTGGTAAAGCAAATAAAATTAAATAAATCCAACAATAAAAAAATTCTCCATAGCGACTTAAAACTAATAGAAAAATTTTAAAACTAAACAAAAATAACAAAAATCATTTTGAATCCCACTAAATGTGATTCTAAAATAAATGCATGTGTATCGGCATATTTTCCTAAAATTGTGCAAAGAATTAAAAAATTCACAGTTTCGGTTGCCGCTACCATTATGCTATAGCGGTTACACCCCACAGCCGCATCAACCTTAAAACCTTGGGTGTGAATAATGGAAAGTTAAAGGTAAAAGGAAAGTAGTTCAGATCTGGATCTAGGTTTTTAAATAATTAAACTCACAAAAATTTGCGGGGAAGAATAAAAAATATAGTATAGGCATCACCTAAAACCCATTGGCATCACTCATAGGCTTTGATGGCATTACACAATCTGAAAGAAATTTACAATCCTTGAAAGTCTCTGAAATATTGCTCCTTTGAATTAGAAGTATTACGAGGCTTTGCATAAACATTAGATAACTACTACCAATAGGATTTAACTTCTTATTTAGAAATTATTTCTTTTGACTTCCGAAATCTATCTAAACCTAAATAACACATAAATAAAATACGGGTAAATTACAGTGACCTCGCTTGAGGTTTTGAGAAAATACACGAAGCTCCATAGTTTTGCAATAATTACACCAAGCTCCCTTCTAGTAAGGTCAACCGAAACTAATGCAGATGGTTTGAAGACACGATGATAAAGAAGAAAAAATATACATTTCAATGTAAAAGAGATAACAATATTTTTCCATCCACGTAACTAACAAATTATTGATGAAAATGGTTTTTTTTTGTATGAATTAGAACCCTAAGGGAGTTCAATTTAATTATGCCAAAACTGTGGAGCTTGCTATATTTTCTCTATACCTGAAGGGAAGGCTATGTAATTTACCCATAAAATAATTAAATAACTTGACCCCATATGATGACCCATGGGCTACCCCTACTATTCATGTCCAAAAAATCTAATTACCAAAATACTCCTAACCTATTAAACATACCACAATAATATGGATCACCCCTTGAGAGATGCCAACTTCCTATTTTTGCTGCTTAAATTTATTTTTTCTCTATCCTTTTTTTGAGTAGGACAAAGTCCAACTTGTTTATATGTGGTTCCTATAGGAACCCCTTGAAACATTCCAGCTTCTAATTTTTGCTACTTCCTCAAATTTACTTTTTTTTCTTCCTCATCTTGTGGACCTAAAATTGGAAGTTGGCATATTTTCAAGGGAGACCTATAGGAACTACACAGTCATGTTTCTAGTCTTAGTATCATCTTATTTTATGGTTATTTAAGTAAGATTCTAAAATGGTCCATTTCCCATATGCTTTATAGTGTTTTGATGGTTATGAGTATTTTGGTAAATTCAGATTTTGTGGACATGGGTTGCAAGGGAGCTTTTATTTCCACACATGGTTTTCTCTCAATACACACATCTTTTTTGTTCGGAAATAAACTCCCGGACAAATTATTTGATTTGGTTGTATATTTGATTTGGAAGTTGAATTCTGAGCAAAAATATTTGGTTTAGAAATCAACTTTCGAACCAAGCATTCGAAAAATAAGTGTGTGAGAGATCTATGAAGCACGAATACTTCTAAAAGGAAGAAGTATCTGTATCGGATACCAATACTCCTTGGATACTCGCGGATACGTATTGGTCACTTCTTAATTAATTTTTCATTAATTTTGAAGTATTAGATACTCCAAGTCATGCATTACTACTTTTACGAAATTAAAATTGTAAAATTTCTTACAAAACATTATAATATAATATAATTGCGAGAATAAATACAAGAATACTTTTCTAATACTTTGTTTAGTTCTTTGATAAGAAGAACATAGTTAGTTAAAGTAATAGAATTTGTCAAATTGACGTATATCTTTATTGTATAATGCATGTCCCCTATAACTACATAGAAAGTAAGGATTGACAAGAGAATACAATAACAGTAAAATTAAATATCAATAAATAAATAAGGAAGTAAACTTGTATACAATATTTTTGGCTAGTGCAAAAGGAAAAAGCACATGGACAAATTGTGGATTGTTATGATATTGTAATATAAATATATTAGACTTGATATTGAAATGAAATATTTGAAAGACCTATTGAAAATTAAAAAGTAAAATAGTTACTGGCTTAAATTAATACTTAATTCTTAATGATTAATATTTTGCATTATAAAATTACAGTGTGGCTTCTCAACATTCTTGAGCTTATGTGCAACTCACTACTAATAATTTTAAAAAATATTCTTTTACAAACGTATCCAACCTGTACCCATATTCTATTTTTTTTAATTTTTGTTGTATCGCCGTATCCATATCGTTTAGTATCCGTACTTCCTAGGTTGAGATAATGTGGTGTGTGGAAATAGAAGCTCCCAAGTTGTAAGGGATGCCCATGGAGTGCTATGTCTCTAGTTATGTAATTAAGTCTTTATTTATGGGACTTGTTTAGGAAGACAAATCCGATCCCGCCTTGAACACATGCCAACTTCTAATTTTAGCTGCTTCTTTAGATTTACTTTTCTTATGGACTGCATCACACTAATAAATGCTCCATTACTCATTAAAACTTGGAAGAATACAGATTGGATGAATAATTATTAACTAGTTAAAATAGAAGAGTTAGTGGCAAAGGGTACATTATAAATACACACAAGTATTAATATGGGCACTATGATGAACCCCTGAAGATTTAGGGTTGATGAGAAGGATTTGGTAGGGAAAGTGAAGAGAAGAAAAACTTTCAGCAGCAAAACCACAAGCAATGCACACTCAACCAACAACTCAAACACATTAGTGTTCTAATTCTGCCTTCACATGCACCACAATGTAAAAACTTAGTCAGAAAACAGAGCTGCAGACTATGTAAGGTTATAAAAACAACTAAGAGATGCCAATATGTTTGGATCAAAACTATCTAAAGACTGTTGCCATAGGCTGAATTATAAGTTTGGTACCACTGCCCAAAAAGGCATCCGTACATTGTGCTTAAAAGAGGAAAATTCATTTGTGCACATTTGCTAAAGAGAACTAGCAGTGTTGTACAAAAAATGATCTAGAATTTAAATACAGGTTACATCAATTTTATTCTTGGCTTTGGCTCCATAGAAAATGACCACAAACAATCCTACCAGAGCAAGGAGAAAATCCTTGAAAAATTAGAAGTTGTATTCACAGAAAAATGGCATACGAATGTAAATGCAGCTCACTTGGTTCCCAAATGCACAAGCTTGTGTACAAAAAGAAAATATTGCTCAATCAGGTACCACAACTAACTTAAGATTATAATTTGAATTCCCTATATAAATATACACACATACCTGCTAGAGTCTTAGCAGCTTCTGCTGAAAACACCACCAAAACTGAACAAAGCTCCTTCAAGTCCTGCGGTTGGATGATGTCTGCTAAGAGTGACCTTCAATCATTGTACACCAGTTAGTTCTGTAATCAAGTACTTGACTGAAATTTACATGAAGGCAAGAACATTTACCTATATGTAAATTTTGAAGGGCCCAATGTTGCACTGTTACTGGCACGCGTAGCCGGAATGGAAGACAAGAAAGGGGAGTGACCAGAAGCTTTTATGTGGTTTGCCTGTAAAACATAATAAAGATACAGTAAACTATCATGCATTCTGAAGGCTAAAAATCATAAAGTGCATTTAACACTGAGCCACAGAAATAAATGTCATGTAACAGCAAAACAAAGCAAATATAATATAAATATATATATATACACAAAGTAAAATACAAAAAAATTTCTTTGCCGAATAGATACATTTTTTCCCAGAAAATTGAACCAATTATTAATTACAGATCAGTGTACTTGTTTGTTTTATTAAATCATATAAACAACTAACTCAGAGGATAATGAAACCAGATTCAATAATAATTATCAGTTATTGACATTTCATCAACTAACCAGTCCAGCTAATCCTTAATGGTGGATGCAAATATCAAGTTTACCTGCGGATATTGTCCAAGCCTGTGAATGGACGGATCTTTGGCTGTTGACCCAAAAAAAAGCTCTTGACCTTTTCTTTTCTTGGATAGTGGAGGGGATCCATAGCCCGAGGAACCAATAGCACCAGTGATGGCAGCATTAGCTGCCTGCTGAATACATGCCATGTTGTTTGCATGGTCTCCATGGAAGAGAGCTTTCCTCTCTTCACTACCTTCAAAATTTTTGCAGTCCATGCATTTACAATTTTCAGAGCAGAGAATATTGGCCTGGAAGCACTCACAGTACTTTTTGAGGCACCCTGATTTCTTGCAATGGCATCCCTTGTTGTGCTTTGCCAACACCAAAACTTCCTCCTCCTACATATATTTTAAGCCAGTTCATATGCATATCAACATAGTCCAAGAAGTACACAAACACTATCTACATATCATGTATCAAAAAACAAAAAATTACATTTCTTTAAAAAACATTAAAAAATAAATAAAAAGAAAACTTGTTCTAATAGCTTATTTAAACTTTAGATTCTCCCATCCAGTATTTTTTTTTCCTTCCCATAATAGTATTAATACTCTCAAAACCATGTACACACTCAAAAACAGCAAAAGATAGTAAACGCACCATCTTTAAAAATAATACTAAAACATAAACAAAATACAGGATATTTTATCTTCTTTCTCTAAGGTCATACTTAATTAGAAAATGTATCATTGTGTACTGTCATATTCATTATTTTGTAAGTTGGAGACTAGGATTACTCCACGTTTTGCATCAGTCAAAAAATTCAAGAATTTGTATGGGCTGGAACTACATGGAGAATCTATGAGACAAGCCTTTGAAATTTGGCGATCAATTTCTGAGCACAATTTAATACTACTATCTCAACAGAGAACACCACTAAGGTGTCAATACAAACATTCCACGGTCGGATAAAAAAAAACAATTGTACATTAGAACCATGCTAAACTCAAGAGGCAAACAAGTTAACTAATTATTTGGAGGTACAGATCAAAATGTTATTTACCCAAAAAGGATCAAAATGTTAAAAGATAACCCTGACATTGTGAAAATATAAAGGAGAGAGTGGATGAGAATGTGAAATTGTGCATGTCATAGTCTCTAATCCAAATAAAATTTGGATGCTCCCATTTACTTTAGACTTTTCAGTCATAAAGACCTTTTCATGTCCTAAGTTTCAACCATTACAAAATACTGTTAGAATTTCCCATCTTTACCTTCACCTACTCCACTACACACTCCACTTCACCTACCTCTACTCCACTACACACTCCACTTCACCTAACCCACTATCACCTCCACTACACCTACTACCACATTTTCTTCTATATATAGATTGTATAGGAATTGTAATTAATGCATCTTGTAATCTATCAATCAAGACATCAATCAATAATACATAAATTCTTACAAATACCATAAAGGAAAAGCTTGGTGAACAAGATAAGCATGGTAAGAGACCCTCTCCCTAGATGAGGGTACCGATAAGACTACAATGATGTGTTTTTCTGACCTCATTATACAATTCATGAAAATTTAAATCACAATAGAGCAGAGGAACATCTTTACCAGTTCTAATTACCCAAAGCATTATTAATGAAATGCAATAATAACTTTTTCATCATTTAAAACTTTCAATTTTATTTTAATGCTTTAAGCCTATACACATACAAAAGCATAGAGATACATTGCTAAATTCAGAAAACAATGAAATTTCTTAATGCAGGATTGAGGGGGAGTGTCCATTGCAAAATGGATTTACTTAGGATGAGAGACGGCAAGGCCCAAACAAAAGCATCCTTGTCTAGATTGCTTCTCTCCCCTTAAAACACCTAAGCTCATTAATAGACCAAGTTAACAATTATCTTGCTTCTCCTCTCAATGTCCATGTCCTCTAGGAAGTGCTCAAGTATCTGCCTTAAACAGCTCATACATACCAACCCAAATCACTCAAAGCATCACCAACCAAAAAGCATGAGGATTATTTTACAATCTTTTGTAACTTACTAGTATTTGAATGTTTGCAATTTGTCCAGTTTATGAATTCATGAGTGTATGGATTATCAAGAATGCAACTTAAATCTGTGGTGAAGATTTCCAGGAAAATACAAGGGCCAACTTTGAACTTAGTTTGCAAGAATGAATTTCTTAATTTTCTTCAAATTGCCTTTTTCTATGATAATGCAGCACACTAGAGAAACTTTTGAAGTTCAATGAATGCCACGAGAACTTGAATCATTTTGGCACATGGAATGGGACAGAAGAATGGTACATTGCATAATAATGTGGTAAGGTAAGCATAGATGAATACAGAGTCAGATTGTGTTAAGTTAGGTATAGATGCATACAAGTGAATTTCCATTACAGAGTAAAAAACAAGGGAATCTTATATTATTTTAACACATGAGTTGCATAGTTACTTTTTACAAACTAGTTCATAATGTTGAACTTAATCACATAAACTGGTAAATCTTGTAAAAGTTGAGCTAGTTCTTGTTATGATTCTTTCTGCAAACCTTCTCCAAGAAAAAGCCTTATTATCATATTTCAACCTTTATGCTCTGAGAAGCAATGGGCACATATATGTGACGCGACATGGACATGTAAATTTTCAAAAAAATGCAAAACATGACACGCAGGGGATACATACAAAACATATAATTTTATATATTTATGATAGGTTATAAATTTGTGTTAAAATTCACCTACTACACACCTACCACTACCACCTACTACACACTCACCTACTTCACCTACTCTCCACCTACTCCTCACCTACTCCATACCTACTACACACTCACCTATTCTCTTCCCACATCCTCTCTTCTATATATAGGAATCATTGTAATATATCAATAATCAAATTGTAAATGTAATTAACTAAAAACTATCTTAATTTGTATCATTTCCTTTTTTGATGGCAATAGTTTGATTCTTGAAGCTGTCAGCATTTTATGCTTACATTACTGTGATGGACATGATCTTAAAACATTTATAATCTAACTAGACAAAGAAGGCAACAATAATTGCATATTTTACAGAAAGAGCATAAAAACTGTCATAGATATTCAAATAAATCGACATGCACTACATTATACTACTACGTGAACAAAATAGGGGGTATATACAAGAACAACAAAGCTTTAATGAAGCAGATATGGGACTGCAATATTGCAAAAAAACTGGGGCGAATTTGTGAACATCTACCACAAACATTTATACATGGCAATGCCTAAGTGCGAAACCTCTGTCCTTATCACTAAACACTTCTCAAAGCAAAGCAAATGAAATTATTGCAAAAGAAAGTTCAATTTGTTTAGTTTACAAAGCTATGCATAGATGATGATTTAATTTTGCTCTTTAACACACAAAACAAATCAGTTATAATCACTGTTCCCGAAAATCCTAAGATGTGAAATCTCACTCGGCTTTTTATTAGAAAGATGAATAACAAACTGGCACTGTTGTATATGCTAACTCTGCCATGAAACAATAAAAAACTAAATCCTAGACACTAGAATATCAAGATATAAATATACATACATATATATATATATATATATAAAGGCAACACAGTTCATGATGTACCCCGTCTTAGAAAGATGAATAACAAACTGGCACTGTTGTATAAACTAACTCTGCCATGAAACAATAAAAAACTAAATCCTAGACGCTAGAATAGCAAGATATAAATATACATACATATATATATAAAGGCAACCCACTTCATGATGTACCCCGTCTTAGAAAGATGAATAACAAACTGGCACTGTTGTATATGCTAACTCTGCCATGAAACAATAAAAAACTAAATCCTAGATGCTAGAATAGCAAGATATAAATATGCATACATATATATATAAAGGCAACCCACTTCATGATGTACCCCATCTTATCCCCATTTCTAGAGAGAGTGTTTTTGTGACTCAAACCTGCGCCACCAGGGACGCTAACAGCAAGCCTTACTGTTGGACCAGCAATATATGTTAAAAAAATAAAATAAAAAAAGAAGAGAACAAGAAGAAGAAGAAAAGAAGCTCCTTACAGATCACTAACACTGGCAACAATGACAAAACAGCTCAAATAACTAACATTTAATTTGTCCAAAATCAATGTTAAACACAAGATATGCATAAATGTGCAAGTTTTATCAGAATGCATACCTTAATTTCCCGATTTCCATGCGGACTGCTAGCAATTTTTGGCCTGAAGGCATTTGGATTACGCTCCAAGGTAGCTTCAACAGCTTCTCGCCTGGCAGCCTCATTTTCAACATTATTGTGACAATTTACACAGTTGCACCCATTGCAGTGTATCCCAGATGCAAAGCACTCACAATACCTAACCAAAATATTGCCAGATTTAACATCATGTGCATACACTTCGTAAAGATTAAAGAAAGACAGCTGAGCATACTGAGAATACCAAATTATCGAAATATCATCAGTGACCACAAATTATAAAGCTTTGAACTTTACATAAGCCTAGAAGGTGAACCTTATATTTTTGAAATACTAAAGAACATATGTACTAGCAAGTTTGGCTCCTCTCCAATCCTATTAGAATTGGAGGATCCTCCAATCTACATCCAACGGCCAAGATCTTTACATTAAACCCATCCCATCTTAGGGCCATGTGGTTATGCACACGTAATCATACCCAACTTTTATCATCTTCATTACAGGAGAAGGAAAATCCCTTATTCTCTGTGAAACTCTCTCTTGCTCCAACACCAATGCACCATACTTATACCGCCTCCTCTCCTACGACTCCACTGATCCACCTTCTTACTCATATCCCTCGCCTTGCCTACCATTGCCAGCTCCAAATTCTCAACATTCTCTGCCTCTTGCGAGTCCTCAAACACCCCCAGCCCAATCTCTCTCTCTCTCTCTCTCTCTCTCTCTTCCTCCAATCTACATCCAACGGCCAAGATCTTTACATTAAACCCATCCCATCTTAGGGCCATGTGGTTATGCACACGTAATCATACCCAACTTTTATCATCTTCATCGCAGGAGAAGGAAAATCCCTTATTCTCTGTGAAACTCTCTCTTGCTCCAACACCAATGCACCATACCTATACCGCCTCCTCTCCTACGACTTCACTGATCCACCTTCTTACTACTATCCCTCGCCTTGCCTACCATTGCCAGCTCCAAATTCTCAACATTCTCTGCCTCTTGTGAGTCCTCGAACACCCCCAGCCCAATCTCTCTCTCTCTCTCTCTCTCTCTCTCTGTACAAATGACTTTGAGCAAGTTAGTTTTCCAAAATTGATTTCGCAACCACACAGATTGAGACTGATTAATGTGAGAGAAATTAATTACAATTTCAAAATCTTAATATACACACAAGTTATATATATATATATATATTCCAGTGTATTCATTGATTTGCAACTATCAAACACAATGATGTCCAATTGTAAATGTAATTAACTAAAAACTATCTTAATTTGTATCATTTCCTTTTTTGATGGCAATAGTTTGATTCTTGAAGCTGTCAGCATTTTATGCTTACATTACTGTGATGGACATGGAAGAGTGTGGTTTTCTCAGGGACGTTCGCAGAGAGAGAGAGAGAGGGAAGAGAGGGAAAGATAGGAATGATTGGGGCTGGGGTAAAGTCTAGAGAGAGAGAGAGAAGAGGCAGTCACAAAATAAATAAATAAATTGTGGGCAAGAACAGAAATTGGATGAGAAGTAAAGAAACAAAGAATTGATTAATTAAAGCATTTTGGTCCGTTGGATGCAGTAGTTGTCATGTGTCATACAGTTAGAAAGCACTGGAAGATCCTCCAATTCTAATAGGATTGGAGAGGAGCTGAACTCGGTACTAGCAGTCTTGATTGCTAGGACTGGGAGCTAGGCACCTAAGCATTCAATGAGTGTACGCAGCATGTAGTTATTAATTGCCATATTAATAGCTTGCCACACATGGAAAAAAATTGTTTGTGCAAATGGAAGTATTGACTTTTGACAACAGTTTCTTGCTACATAAACAAGACACAAAAGAAAAAGGCGATAATTTGATCAAGCATAAAGAGATTAAAGTCTAGAAGAATTATGTCATATCCAACAAATATACATGCATGGCATAAATACAAGTGCATAAAAGTTTTTTGGTAAAAAGATTCATTTGTACATGCACATATGTAGATACATATATTTATAATATGGTGCAGCAAGTAAACAAAATGAAAACTAAGAACATCCCATACATGTCCCAATCCACTCTTTTTTGTGAAAGGTCAAGGTAAAGAGCAAGTTGGCTTCATTAACAAGGTAATGACTTTTTTTCTTTCATTTATTTATTTATTTGGTGATAACTCAAGGTAGAGATTATAACATTCCATCAAAAACATCATGAAGTAATTTTACTTATCAAAACAAATAAACATCGTAAGGTAAATTTCAAATCAACAGACAAGATCCATGTGGAGAGAGAGAGAGAGAGAGAGAGAGAGGGAGGGTAAAACTCTTCTCGTTGAATAGATGTAGTTAACAATTTTGTAGTGTGTGCCCTTGGGGCACAAATTAGAAGCTTAAAAGGAATTGTACATTCTGCATGAAAGTACGTGTAATAAATAATGTACAATCTTTTCAAGCCTTCTTAGCATATGCATTAAGGGCGCATGTTAACAATACCCTTAGTTAAAAAGCATGCTAAGCATCACATTATAACATGGGGTGGTCCCAAAAATTTTTGTAAAGGGAGCTAAAGTAAATGCACAATTAAAAATCTGAGTTTCCTTTTGGTGTGGTGTTAAAGTGGTCCGAAAAACATATTTAGGTCCTGTTTGGGGTGAATTTTTTTGGCTAAAATAGCCAAAAAGACAAAACACGCAATCACATTACTCTCTCTACTTTTTTACACACCTTTTCGTAAAAAAGCCAACTAAAATAGCCTATTTTTCTTTTCTTTTTTTAAATCTTGATTGACATCTATAAATAAGAGGTCAAGTGATCAACCTCAATTGTGTTCACATTTAAAATATAACAAAAATTACATCTATGTCATTGTCAGGTATGCCACTAAAGTCACATGGAATCAATTATGTTACGTGATTTGAAAAATGTCGGGGTGGCCACCAAGGATGAACCTATAATTCTAATTGAGATCACTTTTGGGCTATATAACTGAGTTCTTAGCACAAAAATTTGATTAGACCACCATTTCCAAATTTTTTTTATTGATATATATAAATAAGAGGTCTGCCTCAATTGTGTGCACATGTATGCAATTTAGTCACATGAAATCAATTCTATCATGTGATTGGCAAAAATGTTGGGGTGGCCAACATATATTTGGTTAGGCTTCGACCATCCACCCTTAGGTTGGTTTCTCAGCCCTACCTAGCCTAGTCAAGAATTGGAAAGCCCAGCGCACACTTCTCCTTAAAATCCAGAAGATGTGGGACACATTCCAACACACCCTCCTAGACCACAAGATACAGTAGATGGACAAATGGCACAACAATCACAAGCTCAACCAAGCTCTAATACCAAATTGAAAAACCCAACCCACACGTCTTCTTAAAACTCAGGTTTTTAAGGAGAGAGAATCTGGAGCCTTTTAACCAGTACAAATGGGGCAACTCCAGTCCAGTAGATGTGGGACACATTCCAACACCAAGTAGCAGACCTTCTCTTTCTTTGTTTTGTCAATAAATTGTTCACTAGAAAATCATGTCCTAACATAGAACAAAACATGCATAAACGCACATAAGAGGGCAAGAGAGAAGAGTGGTGGTGTTATACTTCAATCTCATGAGTATTATACTTTCAAAGTGTTAAAACTTTCTTCAGAGTATCTACCTTTTAGCTAAAATATTGCTTTGTTTATTGAAAGCTGACATACAAATAAGCAGCTTTGCATCTATGCCTAGAAACTTGTAAGTCCTCAATAATTACAAGGAAAAGATGATAATTGTATTATGACAGAACAATATCAGCAGCTCTAGATTAAGTAAACAACAGAATGGCCAGTGGCCAACATAGCCTAAATTTAATAGTAAGACAGCTATTCAAGACTAGAAATCCACATAAATATTTTTCACACAAATTCTAAAGAAAGACAACACAACACACTAGATTAATGATGAAATCTCTCCATGGAAAATGTGCACGTAAAGAGGTATGTACTTACAACTTTAAGCATTTCGAGTGTTTGCAGTTGCACTGTTTTTGCTTCTTTGGAGTACCGTCTTTTACTTCAACATTTGTTCTTGCCCGCGTTCTAGGAGATTCTGATTTTCTGATGAAAGAAAGACTATTTTCATTAGTAAAATTTATAAATTAAGCTTTTGCATCAAAGTTTGCAGACAAATTTAAATTCATTAATTCCATGCATTAGGAAAACAAGATAAAATTAGCATTCTGAATCATACAATATCACATGCACCAATATTATTATACAACACTAAAGAAGGAAAGAGAGAAAAAAGAAACAATTTAATTCCTCTGTCACGTTTTATTTGTGAGATGAAGATAAATTGAAAACCTCAATGCTTATGTGTATCAGTGTTAGAGAAGGAGAGATCAAAAACACTCCTAACTGGTGGTCAGGTGGTGTCCCTTCTTTTGGAAGTTGAGGTTTGCGAAGCAAGGTTGAATACAGCCAAATTCATTTAATAAGTGATTACTATACAATAAAAGCTATACAGAAAAAAAAAATGGAACTTCATGTCTTGTTGTAATTTATGTTCTTTTTGCTATGTATTCCAGTTCCAGATCTGAAGTCCTTCTGAATTCCCCCACATGGCTGCGTGATCCTCCATCGTATCCCGTGCAACAGAATACATACGCACACACACACACACATATATATATGAAGAAGAAAAAGAAGGAGGACGAGGAGGAAAGCTCAACCAGCGTAAAAATAAATATTTAATCCTGAGTAGGAAAGCTCACCTAGTGTCAAATTCAATATTTAATCCTTAGCAAAATACATGGCAAAAAGAATTTAAATTACACATGGAATTTGGAAGAAAAAATATCCTCAATGCTTACATCCATCAGAAAATCTCTAAGTTTGCTGTCAAAAAAATCATTTTCTGGACAGCAGAATTCACATTCCATAGTGATTTAACACCCTCCCCCAACCCCCAAGAAATTAATAAGGAAACCAACCTCAATTTCGCAATAACAAACTTCCAATTTTAAACACAAAAGGCATATAAATCAACTGAAATAAAAAGTTAATTGTGCATCCCCAACACATGAAAAAAAAAAAAGAACGAGTGCATAAACTTTAAATTTGAGATTTTATTAAGCATCACATGACTGAAATATATACAAAAACAGACATTTCAAAACAAGGGCAATGGACAGTAATAATTGATCTCGCAAAGTTATAACTAAATAACCAAATTTGAAAGAGAGAGAACCAGAACATCAAAACCCTTGGAAGATTTCACAAATTTGAAAATTCAAAATCAATATTCAGCTTCCAAGACCATTTTTTTTTTTAAAACAAACTCGCAACTTTGAGAATAAAAAGCATAGCAGAATCGATAATTGCAGACTTACACAGGGCGTATCGAAGGAAGAGGGGACTGAGATTGCGCAGGCATCAACAGTAGCTGTTGCTGCTGCGCCTGTGGCTGTGGTGGTGGCGGCTGCATCTGCTTAACCGTCCGCCGCAGCAGGGGCTGAGCCGCCGGCTGCTGAGGGTGCTCAGGCAACACCACGGCCGCCGATGCAGCTCCAAACCCCGTGAAATCCAGCTGCCTCGCGAGCTTCTTCACCGGCGTCTCCGATTGAGCCTTTTTTGGAGGGAAATCCCCTCGCTCACCTTTCTCCATCAACTTCAAATTCAAAATAAATCTCCAAAAAAACAATTCTTAATTAAATTCACTGATTTCTGTCCAATAATCGCAAAAATTCCACGAATCTCCTCAAATTCAAAGCCTTTCGAATCGAGTACCGCTCAAAACATAATTCAAAATCTCAAACTCTGTCATTCCAGAGCTAAGATTTATGTTGAAATCAGACTAATGTTGGTCGAGAACAGTCGCGGATTGAGCTGAATCAAAGAAAAATCGATCTGTACACTCATATACACATGTGAATACGTACGTATAGGCAGAGAGAGAGAGAGAAGAGATAGAGAGAGAATGTTTGCTGAGATGTAGAGAGAGAAATCGAAATGGAAGGAAGGGTACGAGAACAAGAAGAAGCAGAAGAAGAAGGAGGCTTCTGTCGTTCCTCCCTCTCGAGCTTTTGAAATTCAATTTTGTAAATATTGGACGGTAAGATTCTGGTGGTAGTACTATCGTACAGTGCGTATTGAAAGTGAGAATCTAACGGCTGAAATTCATAGAGGGGTTGAAGGTAATTGATTGACCGTCCAATGGGAAGACCTTTGTTTCTTCAATGAAACTCGTGTCAGCGAAGGCATATGCATATTTTGCCCTCGTTATATATTTGGCTTTTTTTCTTTTTTTCTTTTTTGACGTTTCAAAAAAAAATTTCTTACTTTAATTTTTTACTTTTTAAATTTTTCTCAATATACTCTTAAAATTAATTTTTTTATTTAAAATTAAACAGCTAATGTCACTCTAGTTGTCACATTATATAAAAACTTTATACTAAAACTTGATGTAAATATATAAACATTATATAATTTTTTTTAAAAATAGCAAATGTCATTTTTTATATTTATCTTGTCAGGAATAATGTAAATATATAATTTTTTTTAAAATCATTAAAAAAAGTTATAAAAGACAAAAAAATAAACAAACAAAAAGAAAATACTAAAAAACTTATATCCAAACAACACCTACAAACTTTGAAAAAAAGTTGGTTGAGATTTGCTAAAATAACATATAATCATTAGAACATTATTGCTATAATTTGACAAAATAACAATATTCATTACTAAATTATAACAATGGCAGTGCTATTTTAGCAAACACCATTAGAGATGCTCTTACATATAAAAAAAAAATTTATGTCACGTGTTAATGTGTCATTTTTTATTTAATTTTAGACATAAATTAACTATTCAAATACATTACAAAAGAAATTAAAAATAAAGGTGCTAAAGTGAGTGACTAAACATAAAAAGCGCAAAGTATAATTTATTCTAATCTTTTAAGTGTCATTTAAATTTTGCAATTTTAATTTTAATTTAATCTTTTTAATTTTGTTATAATATTTTGTCCTTTCATTATGTATTATAGAGTTTTTTTTTAAAATCTTAATTTCCTTAATTTCGTATTAATATATTTTTTCTTAATTTCATAAATAAATAATAGGGAGATTATATTGTAATAAAATAAAAATTATAGAGTTCACATTATTTAAATTAAAATTATAAAAATTAAACTGGAATTTTATTCAAATTAGAGAAGCAATGATGTAAGAATTATTAAATATTCTAAAGGAATGTCTATGTTTCTTATGTGTCATGATGTGAGAGAGAGTGTTTGACCGAGTGTGCGTGAAATCGAGTGTGGTGGATAATTTCTCAGTGGGATTACGTTTCGTAAAAAGAAAAATAATATTTATTGGCGCTAAACGAGTCTACGACGTTGTTTGTTGACTCCGTGTGGTAAAGGGAATTGTTTGATGTACGGTTCAGATTATCTATTGCTTAATGCGAGGGAACCAATTGACGGACAAGATTTCACCTACGAGAAAAACAACGGATTTTCATAATCTCGTTTTTTTTTTTTTTTTTTTTTCTTTGGCAAAGATCAGGCTTTGTGCGCTGTATTTGGCAGAAATATTTACAGCTTATTTCAGCTTTCAGCTTAATTTAAGTTATTTTGATGTGTTTGGTTTAACTTATAGCTTATAGCTTATAGCTTTGTGGAAGTCAGAAATCAGCTTATTCTTTGAGCGGGGCAGGAGATGCTTTAAGAATAAGCCGGAAATCAGCTTAAGCTGAAAGTTATAAGCTATAAGCTGTTTAGGCATAAGTTATAAGCACTTTCCTACAGTTCTACCAAACAGGGCTTTGGTTTGTTTTTGAGAGAAAAAAAAAAATCAGAATTTTTTTTGAAAAAATTGAAACTAATTTGATAAAAATAAAATCAAAATTTTTTTATTTATTTCTGACTTTCCAAAAATAGAATTATTTAAAAATGATAGGTATTTTTTTTATATCAAATTAATTTTAAAAAATTTTAAAAATAATTTTGAAACAAGTTTCTAAAAATCAAACTAGGCTGCAATATTTCATTAAAATTTAAAATCAATCTTTTATGAACATTAATGTGTTTTATCATAAATTTGGAATTTAAGTAGTGTTTAGTAAGACAGTTGGCTCAATAATTCATATAACTGTCTCTTGAAACAATAAGAAAGTTAGAAATTCAGGATTCGAATCAATGTTGAGACTACAACCCTTTCATTATAACCTAATTTATTACCCCTAATATCGTATCGTATGGCCAAAAAAAAATTTTAATTTAGGTCTTTTTTGTGATAACTAAAAAAACTAGTATATTGATTTATAGATTTATTTGAGTCACATTACCTCTATTTTTTCACACATTTTTTCATAATAAAGAAAAAGGCCAACTTATGAGCCATTTACATTCTTTTCATTACTGCAATTTATACAATTTAAAATTGTAATTTTTTTTTAAACATATTTTAATATGTTATGATTATGTCACACTAAGGTGTACCATTATTACCCACCAATGCCATCGCCATTATAAGGGTAAATTATATCATTGATCCTTCTAGTTTGTTATTACCATAATTACTGCAACAACACTACTACAATGACTTTGTTATCTTACCACCATATATTACTGTCGTTGTCGCCACTATCACACTCCATTACACTACTACTATCATCATGTGATTGCCACACCACCACCACCAATTTAAAGAGTGTAAGAAAAAAGTTAATAAACTAATTTTAAAATTTAGCATTTTTCCTCCTTACAAATCAAATAATTTGATTCGGCTTAGCACTTAAATTTGAGTAAATATCGAATCAGTTTTCAAATTAAAAAAAAAACATTTATTTTTTAATTTTATGAAACAATACCTACCATATTTAAATTTAAAATATAGATTAACTATTGATTATAAAATGGCCAATCTTAATTGGAACTATATAAATCTAAAGATAAAGATAACATAGAAAGACAAATGTAGATTTAATGATTAAATTATAGAAGTAATTATATTTTACTCACATGGATTATTCTAAAAAATATATATTAACTCTTTAGGGTATAAAAGTAAATTTATAACCTTTGTGATTTGGACAAGTGCAAAGTGGATAGAAATGGTTCAATTTAACAATGTTTGTGGGTGGACCTACTAGTTGAATTGATTGGGTGGAGACTCTTATTCCCCGGAAAAATCATGTACCAAATAAGTATTTTGCCATTTTTTCTTCAAATGTTCTCTCTTTTTTGGAGAGGGAGAGGAGAGAGTCAGAGGAAGAGACAAAAAGAGCATGAGTTTAGTTTTACAATTAGAATGAGGGAGAGAAATAATATGGGCAGCTCCAATTTTAGGAATAAAAAATAAAATAAATTGTGTGCCATAACAATAGCAATATAATTTTTTCGTAGATGTTGTATCGGAGTTGGACATTTTATTTTAGGCCAAATTACATGGTAGCTAGGTGGCCAGAGTGTATCGGCCCTAATAAAAGAGTTTTCATAAACTAACCCAAAATCATTTACCTACATATCAATTGGAAAAAAAACACTTCATGAAAAGAAAATTTACTAAGCCTTCGTTTGGGAAGTGGGTTGGCTTTTGGACTTTTTGGCTTTTTTAGCTATTTTAGCCTGGGCTAAAAAGCTTGGTTTGGGAAGGACTTTTTGGCTTTTTGGCTTTTTTGACTTTTTTTGTGAGAGAAGAGTGTAATGATTATGGGTTGGATGTGATGTTTTATTTTTTGTGGCTAAAATAGCCTATTTTGTCTTTTGTGGCCTAAAATAGCCAAAAAAGCCGAAAAAGCCCTTCCCAAACGGACCCTAATTATTTTCAAAGTCTTCATGTGAGACGCTAAGTGAAGTTGTATGAAAAGTATAATATATTAGGGGTGCAACTCGGCGGGTTCGGTCGGTGTGGGTCTGCCCAAGCCCGACCCGAATTGTATTTGGCACTGCCCAAGCCCGCCAAGCCCGACCATGAACCGAACATTGTTGGCCCACCAGCCACCAGGCCCAAGCTTTGTATTATTGAACTCGCGCGTTGCCCGAATTGCCGAATTGCCCGAGTTCAGAACCTTGTACGGTAGATCTAAGGGTAGACATAAAGATGCTAATCTAATGGCTTAGTAAACTTAACAAAAAAAATAAAAAATAAAAGATTAAGACCTTAACTACTTTTACTTAAATAGAAGACCGCAAAAAATAAATTAAATAAATAAAATTAAAGACTAACTCTTTTACTTAATTTATATATATTACAGGTAATTTGATTAAATTATATTATATATATTATATTATATATATATATTATTTATATATATTAATTGATTTCGGGTTCGGGTCTCGTTGGCTATTTGGTTCTGCCAAGCCCGGCCCGAATTGCAATTCGGGCATGCAAAAATCTTCCAAAGCCGTCCGAGATTACAAGATATAGTTGCCTACCCTAAAAAAACTCGGGCTGGGCTCGGTGCTCCGGTTGACCTGCCCGAGTTGCACCCACTATAATATATACGCTATCAAACAATATATATTAAGATGAAAGTTATTTTATATTTCAAGAAGAGGAAAAAAAAAAAACTAATGTATGTCAAATCAGTGTCAATAGTTGATTAATTTGTGGGGTGGGGGGGAATCTGAAAGTTTATTAAGACTTTTAAGTCAGTTTGTATTGTGAGAGCATCCAACAAGAATAATATTAGGCATTAGGAAAAAAAATATCATGAAAAGTTTTATGAAGATTCTCCATTTTTGAATTACACACACAATAAAATAATACACACTAATCAAATGATAAAAAAAATTTATGAACCATTTCATAATATTTCTTTCATGATACCTAATATTATTCGCTTCAAAATGCACATCACATATTTTGTTCAACACTGTAATTTTTATTGTTATTTATAAATGGTAATAATAATACTATTTTGCTCATAAATTATTTTACTAAAAAGACCAAACCCTAACCCTATCTTCGGTAGCCCCTTCTTGCTCTGGTAGCCCTTTGTTGTCACCTCCTACCCATCGCCTCCACCTCCACCTCCTTATCCTCCTCCATCTTTTTTGCCTTCTCTCTCACCGCCGCCATTTT